TCCTGCGGGGGAAGCCCAGCCCAGCTCCTGCAGTCCCCGGCAGCCATTGCCGATCGGGCTAGCCTTTCCCCCCAGGCTCACAGAGCATGAGCTACCCCCCACAAGGACCAGGTTGGACCCCAACACAGCACGGTGTCCCATGAGGGCCCCTTGGGTAACCATCCCAGCAGATCCGTAAGGGTGGAATTTGGCTCAGGGTATTTCGGTTCATGGTTCAGAGAAGCTTATGAGGGGATTTGATCTGTTAGTACCTGGAGAGCAGACTTCTGATGGCACAAGGGTTACAATCTAGAACAAGAGTTGGCACAAGGGTGATGATCTAGAACAAGAGGTGGTGTATGGATGCATGATCTAGAACAAGAGATGACATGAGGAGTTCTAATCTAGAACAAGCATTCGCAGTCTAGAACATGTGATGGCATAAGGGTTCACAATCTAGAACAAGAGTTGTCACAAGGGTGATGATCTAGAACAAGAGGTGGTGTATGGATGCATGATCTAGAACAAGAGATGACATGAGGAGTTCTAATCTAGAACAAGCGGTTGCAGTCTAGAACATGTGATGGGATAGAGTGGTTCTAATCTAGAACAAGCGGTTGCAGTCTAGAACATGTGATGGGATAAGGGTTCGCAATCTAGAACAAGAGTTGGCACAAGGGTTTATGATCTAGAGCAAGAGATGGCACGTGTTCACAATCTAGAACGAGAGATGACACAAGGGGTTATAAACTAGAACGAGAGATGGCACAAGCGGCTCTAATCTAGAACGAGAGACGGCACACGGATTCTAATCTAGATCAAGAGATGACACAAAGGTCCCTAATCTAGAACAAGAGATGACACAAGTGTTTATAATCTAGACCATAATCTAGACCAAACTACATCCAGGCTGGAAGCAGGGCGCCCATTGGACCAGCTTACCAGGCAAGCTGGTGGATTCGTCACCTGTTGCCGTCAGTAGCTGAGGGCCAGACGTCTCTGCAAATGACGCCCTGTTGCTCAAAGAGCCGGGACGGGCTCCCTGCAGGCGGCATGCTGGCCGGCGTGAGAGGGTTGCCCTGGCTCCCTCTGGCCTTGGGGCTGGACTCTGTGGATTCCTGGAACTATGATCCTTGTGTGCCCGAGGCGACTCCACGGGTGTGCAACTGGCACCATGTTCCCAAGATGCCGAGCGGGTCAGAGACTCAGGCAGGGCATCAGCACTGCCGAAAGAGGACGGTGAGCGATGGGCAGCGGCTCTGCAAGGACAGCGCTTGCCGGGAAAGCCAGGGGGAAGGGCCCTGGTGAGATGGGACAATGCCGGGGGGGCGGAGGGGCCTGGAATGCAGGACGGGGTAGTGCCTGGGCTGTGGGCAGGCGGTGGATGGGGGGCTGGTAGCAGGGAGAAAGGATCCCGGGCTGCAGTGAGCCAAGAGGATGCTGCCAGAGGCTCCCTGGCCTGAAAGCAACATTTCAGCACCACGGCCCCGCCCCGAGAGGGGCATTGTGGGACCCTGCACCCCAGCCCGACCTCTACTAGACCCACAGAAACGCTAACTAAGCAAAGGCAGGTGGGCACACGGGGGGAGGAGCATCCTGGGAGTCCCAGGACTCATGGAGGCCGCTTGCCAAAGCAGGGACTGGCTCTGCAGGGCCCCGGGCGCTGCCTGGGGCCGGCGGTCTCCAGCGGCCCCACAGAGGCCGGGCTAGCGGAGAGCTGCGGTTTGTAGCCAGCGTCTCTGCCCCTCGTTCGGGCCCTGAGGAGCCAACAGGCCAGGGATGCTGCCCCACAAGGAATAGAAGCAGCCGGCACGTTCTAGACTGTTCCGAGCGCCGCCCTCAGGGCCGGGTTAGCCGCGAGCCCGCCAGCGGTTTGCTGCTCCTTCCCCCACGGAAACCCTTCGCACCTCCCCTGGGTGGGGCTGCAAACAGGGCCCTCCTCCAGCCCACCCCCAGGGACCCCGCGCCGCTGGCGCCCGCTACCTGTTGTCTGGGCCACCTTGACCAGCCCGCGCCGGAAGATGTTCTTCAGCCTGGGCATCATGTTGAAGTTCTTGGCGCCCCCCGTCACCGAGATGAGCAGGTTGGGCGCGTCGAGGCCCCAGTGCTGTGTCATCAGCCGGTAGATGAGGCACGGAGGGGTGTCCACCGAGACGCGCACATACTGGGGGGGCACGGAAGGGAGGGAGTAAAACCCACCGCGCCGCTCCAGAGAGCAAAGCCAGCCTGGGACTCATCCCCGAGGGCGGCCCCACCCCAGTCCCACACCTCCCTAAAGGCTCAGGGCTGCATGGCGAGGCGCTCCTCCCTCCCTCCCTTCCCCTTGCACTGCCGCCCCCCAAGGAGAGGGCAATGTGCCGCGTGGAGCTGCCGGCCTGGGACCATGCTGTCCCTGCCCCCACCCGCCTCTCTGCCAGTCTCCCCACCTCCAGGAGTGGGAGGCAGCAGGAGAGCAGGCTGCCCGTTGCATCCTGGCCAGCAAACGGCTCCAGAGGAGGTCTCAGATTTACTTCTCCTGGCCCTGGGCCTCCTCCCCATCTCACCCCAGCGCTGCTCCGGCTGTGGGCAGGGCGAAGGAGGTGACACCTGCCCCCTCTCTTTCTCCGCTGGGGCCAGCACTGCCTTCGGGGCCTCTCCCCGTCTCCCCTCAAAGGCCGGCGAGTCGGCCCGTTCCGCGAGCTGCAAGTGCCGAGCAGCAGGATTTCAAGGTGGGGTCCCTGTCCCTGAAGCCCTAGGGACCGACCCACCTTTCCCACCTTCGGACCCAGGCCCGCAAAGCTGATATCACCGAACGCGTCCGTCGGCATTTCTTGGATGTGCCTCTTGGGGTCCCATTCCTTCCCCAGGAAAACGGACGGCTTTGTGGCCTCCTCCAGGTGCTGCTCCTTGGGGTAACCGCACTCACACATCACCCTCCTGGCAAGAAACCAATAGCACAGCCAGGCCGGGTCAGACCAACGGTCCATCCAGCCCAGTGTCCTGTCTGCCCACAGTGGCCAACGCCAGAGGGCGGGAACAGAACAGGGAATCATGAAATGATCCCTTCCCTGGCACCCATCTCCAGACAAACAGAGGCTAGGGACCCCATTCCTACCCATCCTGGCGAACAGCCATTGAAGGACCTAACCTCCAGGAATCTATCTAGCTCTTTTTGGAATCCTGTTACAGTCCTGGCCTTCACAACATCCTCTGGCAAGGAGTTCCACAGGTTGGCTGTGCACTGCATGAAGAAAAACATCCTTTTGTTTGTTTTAAACCTGCTACCTATTCATTTCATTTGGGGACCCCTGATTCTTACGTTATGGCTGCATTTGCGAATCAAAATATATCCATTTTCAAATATCCACCAAAAACATCAACATTTTCTGTGGCTAATTTAGACACACGCTTTTTTTTGTTTGTTTGTTTCCATCAGAGTTTTCTTGCGAATCAAAATATATCAATTTTCAAATATCCACCAAAAACATCAACATTTTCTGTGGCTAATTTAGACACAAGCGTTTCTTTTTTGTTTGTTTGTTTCCATCAGAGTTTTCCACGGGAATAAGAAGAACGACGTTTTTCAGCCAGCTGTGCTTAGAGTTGTGGAATCAGCTGACGACACACAACCTCTCCTCTCCAGGAAATCTTTGTGTGTTCTTGTTGTGCTGCCTCCAGACCTCACCGCTCCTCTCTTTGTAGTAAAAATGGGCTTAGTGCTGAAGCCGGACTTTACTTTCCTGCCAGGTGAGTGGAAAGCGAGAAGCAGATGGAAGTGGGGAAACATCCGTGCTTTTGACTTACCCAGTGTCTGACATCAGGGAGCTTTCAACGAAGTACACGCATTCCTTCTTCCTGATGTTTTCAGGAATCCACGAGCTGAGATTCTCCTGTGGCGTGGAGGGAATAAGGAGACCAGCTGGCTTAAATGGTTTCAGACACAAACCAGATTATGCAGGTTCCCACACCTGAGCCGCAGGAAAACCAGACACATCACAAATTCAGCATGCAAGGGTTCCCAGCCAGTACATAGAGAAACAAAAGTCACAACAGCAAGGATCCCACGGGGAACCTGAGACTTGCACTTAGGACAAGTAGCAGAGCGAGGAGTCTGCCAGCACCGGACAGAGAGGCATGTGCTCCAAGTTGGCGAGGCATGAAGGAGCAGCGAGAGTCTAACACTCGGACTCTGTTGTGGGTTAAGTGGAGTTAGTTCACGTTAAAGCGGTGGGCACTTTGTCTGCCCAGACTGTTGAAGTAGAGCAGGTAATGAGTCTAGCTGGTGTCTCCTCCAGGTGATGCTCTGTTCCTGGATTGAGAGTCCTTTACCTAGTCCCACACTCTCCTGTCCAGGCAACCTGCTCCAGGACTCGGAGCATCTCCTGGCTATGCCCTTTACTCCTACATACGGTCAGTTTGCTGGCCTCCCCCTAACCCCGACACCCTCTAAACCAGTGGTCCCCAACCTTTTGAGGTTGTCGGGCGCCAGGGGGCGTGGCCGTTTGCCCGCCAGGCGCCAGGGGGCGGGGACACTTGCGCGCCCGGGGGCAGGCCCACCATAGCCGCATGCCCGGGGGCAGAGCCCCCCCATAGCCACGCGCCCGGGGGCCGGTGCCCCCTCCAAGGGCCGCGCGCCCAGGGCCGGGCCTC